ATCACAGGTACACACGCATCGCTGCATTTGATCTTCCACACTGCCAATAGACTACTGCTGGCCATACTCTTTATTAACCTTATTTAAAGGTACACTGTATGTCCGCTTATGTCAGCTATATATGTAGGTTATCCTATATCAGTTGCCAGTCTCAATGTCATTCTGTCATGCAGAAGTCTGTACATGTCATCCTATGGCAGTGGACCGTCTATATGTCAGTGGAGAGTCTCTATGTCATCCTATGTCATGGGCAGTCTGTACATGTCATCCTATGGCAGTGGACCGTCTATATGTCAATGGAGAGTCTCTATGTCATCCTATGTCAGGGGCAGTCTGTACATGTCATCCTATGGCAGTGGAGCATCTCTATGTCAATGAACTTATGTCAATGGGGAGTCTATGCCATCCTATGTCATGGGAAGTCTGTACATGTCATCTTGTCAGTCGGCAGTTTGGAAGATGAGGAAACGCAGACTAGAAGCAAAACCTGTTCGTCCAAAAGATTTTTTTTATTTCTATATATTTTTTGGTGTTTTAACTATAGTCCTTTTAAAAATCTTATAGCAGTAAATGGCAGAGTCAGAGTGACTATACATAAGTATTAAATACCAAACACTGGTGCCCGTCTTACTATGTTTCTAAAACATGTATACTGATTACCGTTCCTTAGTCTGTTTTAATTGTTAAAATTAATGAATTATGTATTAATACATGTATATTGTATACATGTGTATCGTCCGCTTTTTTATAAGATATCCTTGATCTATGTTTCTGTATTATTCTCTAAACTATCGGACATCGTTATTTTTTACTAACAAACACAATTAATCTAATCTGTTATATAAATGTTATTTTATATTTATATAATGTATATATCCTTGGTAAAGTTGTAGAATATACTACTTGTAGTAATTTCCATAAGATAACTTAATTTGTAGATATCTAGTCAATCACAGCTATGGTGTTATAATATTATTCTGAATTCCATTTAGTACACAGATTACTAAGAATGTTTATTGTTTTATACATTTGTATTGGTGTTGTCTATATTGCATGTCTGAACAAGCTGACATGCTGCTCTTCCCACGATAATGATGTCACGAAAAGTGTGATAATATCTAACGAAATAAACAAGAGGAAGTAATTATCAAGATCTGAAACTATTTCTGTTCTACATAGTGTTAATAGTTTATGTTTCATCTGAACAAAACACAGTCCAGTAATTCACTTGATAAAACAAGTTTTTTATTGTACATTGTAGATTCCCTTTTTACTGTATTTTTATAAAGTGTTCGGACCAGTTTGGACAGGGTTTTTTCATTCGTTTGACCTTGACTAACCTTGATGATTCCTAAATGGCCATATGGTGAAGTAAAAAAGCTTGTTTTGTTTGCTTCCTTTCTTCAAATTTTTAATAAATACATCACCCTGATCTAATCTATGTTTCACTGAGTACATTTTCCTATCTGAAAAATATATCTCGTCAATTTCTTAACCTGACAAAAACTCTATTGCATACAACCAAAAGATTTACTTGTAAGCATATACCAATTTTGATGGAAGATCTCTGCTCAATGAACACATATCTACAAAACTGTATTCTTGTTTAATTCTTGTTCCTAATTATTAAGCGAACTACCAATTTTATATATAAACATCATTACATAGGGTTAATGACTCATTGAACAATCACATAACAACATTACCGGGTATATTGCAATTCATGATTCTGTGACAACCACATATTACTAAAACAGACAGAATACAAATCAACCTCAGCAACACTTATTCATATAGTTTTTACTTAAACATCAGATTTTCATCACACCATCTTCTTGTGATCCACCCTTGAAATCCAACAATTCCGATCCCGCTACGTATATGTCATGACAAAATCCAAGACTCGCGGCAAGCTATTACTTTGATATGTTTCAAGTATAAAAACTTGACAAATTGTTAGGCTGATACACTAACAGAGGAGATACATAAAACTTACAACCTGCCCTTTTCACCACACTATAACTATGATCTTCATAAAAGACGTCAGACTTATCTACCTGTATCTCCAACATGGTATTGCCAAAACCGCCTTCGATTTTGTCACGACATGTTCCCAAAGTGTAGATCGATTTTGTCACGACATGTTCCAAAAGTGCAGAGAAGTATGTATGACCAGAGCAGGACCCTTGGGTTGGATCTACATAACACAACCTACATGTAAAACATAATCACACTTACCTGGTAAGTACTTATATACAGATCACAGGACCAGGTAACATTCTAGTCTCTACTGAGCACAATTTGGAAGGTAGTACAGCAGTTCTTATTAACATGAAAAGGGATTGTTTTTCATTATGATTAAAAAATTCACAAACTTAAAATATAAAAATAACTATATAAACAATGTTCATGTGAAAAAATAAAGATAATGTATGTCTAACTAAATATCAGTGAAAATTGTAACAAGTGGAATGTTGGAATGTGTAACATTTCAAAGTTGCAGCATATCTTTTTTGTAAATCAGGAAATTAAAAAATGCCATTTAGCTCAATGATCTTCTGATAGATTCAATGCACAGAAAAATATTTCCAAACAACATTCACCAAGGAACATATGTCTTCTTCATCAAAACTTTACTCATAATGATATAAAAAAAAAAAAGCATTGCAAAAACAAATTGTTTCTTAAACATTGTAACATCCCATATGTAGGCACTAAACAAAGATTACCAATTAAGCAACATAATATGTGATGGGGAGGTCTGTTACATGTTCATTAGCTTGAGGACGGTTATTCGAGCTTGACTAGATGATGACAAATCGTACAATCTAGTTTATTATGTCACAATAATGGACAGAATCATACAGTTATATCACATGTTAAATACATGAAAAATATCAACATGTAAATGCGACAGTTAAATGTTTACCCAAGGCATATATATAGGAGCTGCTGGCAGATCGATGTTGGATGGGTAACAGTTTCAATACATGACATACTTTTCTCTAAAACTACTCCATTGATCACATAATTATATTTCTCGAACAATATTGTTACACAGACACAAATTAACTGGATAAATTACATAGTTCAGTAGGAATGGCAGAATTGTACAATGAAATACAATTGGTTTGTTTTGCCTTTTTGAATCTTCAAACAATGTGTGTTGTGGAAATTTTTGCACTGGCAATAATGAACAGAGTGAATTAAGTGTAAAATTTCCACAGTGTAATTCTAACTTTTACATATTGAAATGTTTGGGATGAGAATTTCCATAAAAATGATACATAATTAATTTCGTAGGACGGTCACAAGTATACAAGACAGTTTATATATATATATATCATAATCATGAGATGATGGCAAATTTTTAATACATGTAATTTCTGAAAGGGGAGACTAAGTATGCGTCTTCTGCAAGCATTTGTATTTACTTATATACATAGATTAGTCTATTATTTATATAGTAAGGAATGTGAGAGTTAAAAGCTCACAGCTATACCGGGAATCATGATCACAGATACAGATACATGTATATATACATTTTTTGCTGTAAATCTGAAGGAACAGTTACTAGTGCATTTTGATACTATCTCGTCATTTTATTTTTAAAATTGAAATATAAAAATAGAATGAATAATAAATCATGGTTTTGATAAGTTAAAAATATCGCGAAGCCTTTTGCAAAATGAGTACAAAACTGAGGTGTAAAATTTATCACTTCATTCAAATAAAAGTTCACAAAAATGTTCATAAATAATAAAACAAAGGTAACACAGAGTAATGGACTCTGTGATAGATCCTGACTGGGCCTGCCTAGCCAGCCCTGCACTTCTCTACACACATCTGATAACAGGCGCAGTACTGAATCTATAAGATCACAAAAATAATGATAAAAATGTTACAAATACCCTTTCTACACATTACATAAAATATGTCATAAAATGTATGTTGTACTACAATGTAAGTTGTGTTAATAATATCTATATCACAGAAAAGATAAGGCGACAAATTACAGAAAAATTAGAATCAGCAGACTCTCTCGTATCGGTACATGTATTTGTAGAACTGTTCCTTTTTTTGCATTATTCAATATCTAAGATTGTCCTAAATAGGTTATTAAAGTCACTGTAAGTTAGAAATGATGATTTTATTACACCACACTTTATTGTCTGGAATGGCTTGATTGATAAAGCTATTCCACCTCGAACAAAGGGAATGATTTGAAACTTCGAGCAGCCACCTCAACAGATAATTAACTGTCAACAAAAACTGTCCAATCATGTAAAAGTCGTATCACACACAGAACGTGGCCAGCAGGTCCATTAAGCTTATTAGTATGTAAATGGTTGAGGTGGTGGTCGAGAGATGTTCACCAACACAATCAAATGATTAATAACCCGGTAACTGTATTCTAGACAAGTGATCATGTTAGTATCAAAAATCATTATGATCCATTGTCGTTTCATAAAACCAGTAAAAGTGCATCATTTTTAACATTATACAATGTATAACATTGTTTAACATTGTTTAATATCAAATAACATTGTCTAAATACAGTCTTAACTTCACACCCAGTAATCTAGCTGAACAGCACTTGAGATATTAACATATACAAAGTATGACATGTATAAATTAATGTAATGTAAGTACAAAATATTTTACAAGTATGACATGTAAAACAAAGTATGATATGTTATACAAAGTATGACATGTAATACAAAGTATGACATGTAAAACAAAGTATGACATGTATAAATAAATGTAAGGTAAGTACAAAATATTTTACAAGTATGACATGTAAAACAAAGTATGATATGTAATACAAAGTATGACATGTAAAACAAAGTATGACATGTAATACAAAGTATGACATGTAAAACAAAGTATGACATGTAATACAAAGTATGACATGTAATACAAAGTATGACATGTAAAACAAAGTATGAACTAATGTAATGTAAGTACAAAATATTTTACAAGTATGACATGTAATACAAAGTACAAAGTTTGACATATAAACATTAAACACGTAATACAAAATATTACATAAATATGTACAAAATGCGCTGTAACGTGTAAAATGTATGTAGAATGAATAAGATGTAGAAGTATCACAGTATCTTGTTCAGAGTATATATAAAGTCACAGGCGCAGGACGGCATACTTCTAAACAACAAGTTAAATTAATCAGTATCCGAGATCATTTTCTTCATTGGCTTCTTCCTCTTCTTTTTGTGTTTCTTCCTTTCATCCTCAGTGCTGCTTTCCCTCGCCATCCGTGTGAACATTCGAGGTGACGCAGCTCTCGTGTTATTCTCCTCTGAATCAGTCGAGTCTCTTGATAAACTTCTTCTCAATGACAAATGACCTGATGGAACGTTCAATGCTTTTTGCATTCCAAAATGGCCACTGGTACGCATCACATCCTCATCAGAGGAATCAATATCCTGTATGTCTCTACAGTATGACCTATTTGATATGCGACGGTACAGTCCGGGGCGCTTTGGACTTTCTAGAGAGCTTTTCCTTACAGGAGAAATATGAGACACTTGAGACTGAGAAACAACATCTAGATGTGGCGAAAACTGTAACGATTTATCTGGTGTGATTTCATGCTTAAAGACAGGATTGTCAAAATTATTGAGTTCAAGCCTTTCTTCTTTTTCCTTCTTTTTCTTCTCCTTCTTTTCCTTTTTTAACTTCTTCTTCTTTTTCTTTTTAGTTTCTTCATCTTCCACCTGCTATGAAAACATCATAGAAATAAAAGTCTATCACAAGCAAAGTTGAAATTTAACATAAAATACCAAACTGGTGCTGGAAACAAGCATAATGAGAGAAGTCAAATCTGCCATGGAAAGCTATCATCTGATAGTTTGACCAATGTTATCTATCAGAATGGTCCTGCTTTATGATGAAAGACCTTCATGTCTCTGCCATAGTTGGAAATCAGTATAATGTTTGCTGAGGGAAAATGTGGTGAAATAGAAGAGCCCTCCTTACTATTTACCCTGATCACTCGGTGCCTTTATTACGTCAAATATGGCATACGCCCTACTGCCTCAAGGAAAAAAATAGGTAAATCTACTGTATCATGTTGTTATATTATAACAAGATTTCGTAAACAAGCATTAACATTCCTTTTTGCCAGAACTTAAATATAAATTATGCAGCAATTAGTAAAATTTAAATGAACATGAAAAATATCTGGCAGAACAAGTCTTGCTCACAGAAATTCATAAAGCCATCAAGACTTTTGCTTATTTTCTAGACCTATTGTCCTGCTTTATTGCACCTTGGACAGAATTGTCGCATCTGCTTGGTTAAAATCGGGTCACGTCGTGACCCCCCTATGAGACTATAGGGGGGTCAGTAAAAAAAATTAGGGGGCAATATGGCAGCCCTTGTCTATCGCTTCGAAAATAAAACAAATTAGGTCTAAAATACGCCTTACCACATATCCCCGAACGAACACTTTCCTGTGTATTCTTTTGTACAGAATCGTCATGAAAAAGTTAAAACGTTTAAAAACATTTAAAATAGTTGCCTCCCCTATGCCAGTCGAAAATAGTTGACCTCCCGCTTGACATGACGTCAAGTACTATTTGAAAGCGTCTCGGACAACCCGAGTAGAAATTGACGAAAAAAGGAAAAAGATTCGCTTAGAGAAGACGTTGAAATGTAACAATCAATCTGCAAATCTTTTCCGTGAATATTTAGTCGAAAAGGGACAGGATGTAGAGTTCGAGAACTTCAGTGCCAGAAGTTTAGATGAAACCATTTCGTATTTCTACCTGGACACAATTAAGGTGTATCAAAAGGGGGCATAAAAAGGTCCTCGGTGCGATAAAATTGTTATATGGTTTGTTACTGACCTACTATGCAATCATAGAGGGTCAGTAACATTCATATGGGGTGAGGCTTCGGCCTCTATGGTTCCATAGTAGGTCAGTAACAAACCATATAACTAATAATGTAAACTTCAGGAATGAGAGACTGTCTAATATTTCCACAGCTTACCTCGGTGAGAACGATTGTTTCTTTTGTTTCCTCTTTGACTAACTCTGGTGCTTTTGCAACTTCTTGTTGGTTGAAAAATGTTGTTTCCAAGTAATGTTTATGGTGATCCTCGACTCCTCCAAGCTCAGGGAAGAAGTCCTCCTCTAACACCTTGAACAGCTCTTCATTTCTGTACAATATAAATAGACCAAAGTTTAACTCGGAATGACTTTAAATCTCCCCCTCCCTAATGGTAAACCTTCACTCCTGTCTAACGAGCTTGTTACTGCCAAATGCTATAGGTTTTCCCCTGCCAATTATTGGCAATGACAAATGACCAAGAGAAAGTCACAGACCAGAGACATATACTGACAAATCTCAATGGCCACGTAAACAAATTTGGAATAAACTGACTCCTACTGAATAGACATTTTTGTTTTCACTTCAAAGGAGCCATTCTATGACACATGTGGTAAATAACACTTTTTTTTTTACCAAATCTATGACATGCAAGGTTTTTATTATAATAGTTAACAAGTTTACTTCATTTGTGATGACTCACCTCTTCTGGAGCAGACTAATCTTGGTTTCAATAGTCTCCTTCTCACTGGCCTTCTTCCTGCGTAGCAGGTTTGTCATCTCCTCCTTCTCAAACAACTGAAGGTATTCTAAGTGACGCTTTGAGAATTGTACACCTGAAAACAATTAAATAGAGTGAAGTTCTCCAAACCATAGTAAGACATTCAGAGAAATCAGTTTTCAAACAAATTTTATCTGTAGTTAATAAGTACCCTTCCACAGTATTATTTTTACTAAAACAGGCTGTGAGCCTTTCACTGATAAACTGGCATTGGTCCTGTTTTAGCTTACAAACAGCCCACCCATAACGACTATACTGGTTAAAAAGGCTCTGATTCTAGATTTTCAAACAAATAACCCAGACCTCAGTCTCCATACAGATAAAAGTTCTAACGAAAGAAATAAAACAAATAAGGCAAAATAAAAACAATATTTTGTTCCAGGTTCCTCTAAAAAAAAAAAGGCATTATTGAACAGTTGCCTAATACTCCTACACTGTTTTAATGGCAGTACATAGTCAAGATGGCTCTTTTAGACATCTATGATCTGTGACCTTAAACTCCAAAAGGTGACCTTAGGTCAAAATCATGACACACCTTGGAGTCTTTCGCATCAATGATATGAATTATGATCCAGCCATACAAACAGCACTAATTAATTTGAATGCTGCCAAACCATGAAGTGCTCCTTATAAAAGTGAACCTATAAATGATAGGGTAGATAATGGAATGCCATCTTATTTGATAAAATACACAAATTGTTTACACAGATAAAAACTCCAACAGTTGTTGTTTCAAATCACCCAAAAAACGTTTAGATAAAAAGACTTGAAACAAGGTTACCGCGAGCGGTATATAATACGCCCGTCACACATTGAATGAGCAGTTGTTTGTATGATTGAAATATATGAAGTATTTGTGAGTAATTGATATTAAAAGAGAAATCATTCAACATAACTGGTAGATCAATGAGTGCAATACAACATCATGGAACGCATGCATCGCATTAATGAAACCAAGGGTAATAACTCCA